CTTTCGGGATCATTGCCCTGCCCGACATCCGATTGAGCGAGTACAGAGGGGATCTGCGCCATGGCAAGGGATGGGAGGGAGGGGTAGGATGTCAGATATGACGCGAGCGCAGCTAGCTTGCGTTCCCCCTCTCCCCCCCCCCCCCATCCTTTTATCAGAGGCCAGCAACATATGTACACGTACGCGGTTAGTTTCCCCTGGAGTGCGTCTCAACGCGGACGTTCGTGCAGGCAAGACCGCGGAGGGCGTGCATGTACATATGTCGTTGCTCGCCCATTTTAGACCCCCTCCCCTGCTCCTCCCTCCATTCACCTCCCGTTACTGCGCGGCTCCTCCCCCCGCCTTCCCTTCGCGCCCCCTCCCCTCCCCTCCCCCCCCCCCCCCCCCCCCCCCCCCCTCCATTCACCCCTCTCCCTCGCGAAATTATCCTCCAACTGGCTCTCGCGACGGAGTGTCCGCTTGGGCCCTCCCCCTTCCTTTTCTTCTTCCTTCCACATTAGTCGAGCCGCGCTTTCGCCATCCAAATGGTACGTTGCAGTGTTTACGCGCCATCTTCGCCAAAAATGCGCGACATCCTGGCTTTCCCGCGTCGCCGCTCCCATGTGTTTGCTGGGTCAGGATGCGTCGTCCCCCCCCGCGCGTTCGGCTCTCGCGCGCCTGCTCCGTTTCTCATCTTTGGTTTTCGGCCCAGCGCCGTAGGAGTAAGAAATTCACTACGTATCGGAAACGACAGCGACGCCGGCGAGAATTTCTATTCGGCGGGGCCCCCCGACGGCATTGCGCAAGTCGGCGTCGAACAAGTCGGGGCGTCGCGCGGCGCATTTCCATTGGCAATTTTACGCGGCAGGCAAGGACTGCCATGACCGCGACGATGAGTCGCCCGATTCGCTCGGCCGCCCCTCCAGAGGAAGGTAGAGCCAGAAGAGGTCGGCGCCGCGCTGCAAACTCACCATGAGCGAAGCGGCGAAGGACTACGTCGACGATCGCCAGAGAAAATCAGGGGCAATCCCATGCGAGCCGCGCCAACGAACGACGGTTGGGAACAGAATGCGTGGACGAGAGATGGCGCGCGGAGGGCACGGCCGCGCCGATCGCACGAGGTTCGAATACACGGGACCAGCGATTTCGCGAATGCAGCGCGGCGGCGCTCGACGATCACGAGGGCGCCGCGCGCGTCGATGGGGCGCAGTGAGAAGGTGAAGGGAGGGCGAGGCGTCCATTCTGGGACTGTTTGAATCTTCTGCAGTCTGCATCCATGGAAACGCAGCGCCCGACGAACTATTCGAGCACCTCGCGACAGACCACGGCGCCATCGTGCCGGTAGGGAACAAGACGGGTCGCCCTAGTCTGGGCGAGGAAAACGCGCTTAAGGAAGTTATCGATCGCAGCCGCTCAAAGTTTCCAAACGTGCCTAACCGACTTCGCCACGATGGCGCTGAAACTGGGTCTGGACCAGTCACTCACGCGGAGCGGCGGGTTGCCCATCCCCAGCGACGCGCGGATAGGAGTGGATTCGATAAATGCAAGGCCAAGGTGAGTCGTAGCACGTTGAAGATCACCGCGCGAAGTGCGACGCCATGCTGATCGCGAAAGAATGCGCCAACCAGAAGTTTTACATCGGAAAGTCTATACGCTGTAGGGCAGACGGCATGCCGACGGCAGAACGCACCAGACCGCGCCCACTGGATCGCGCGACGGGGCGAACGCTTTTGGAAGAGTACAGCAGCCCAGCCGGTTGGAAGCAAGCGAGCGCAACCGAAGTTCATTTGCAATATGGCGTTCGTCGCGACAGTGATTGGTGCGAGAAGTCTGGGGGGGGACCATTGCCACCATCCTCGAGCGCTACACACAGGGGGCGGACCCATGCTATGAACTGCTTCTCCGTCGAGAAGCCCGCACGCCCGCTGACGAGCCAGTTATATCACCCGCGGGGCGTGCAAGGGGCTCGCGGTCTCTTCCCGGCAGCGCTGAACATCGCATGAGCCGCGAACGGGCGATTAGCGCGATGCGGGAGGATCAGCGCGACCACGCGCTCGTTCTGCGGCTGCGTTGGGCCGTGCACGGGCGCGCGCTGCGAACATGATCGCGCGCGGCAGACTGCGCGCGCAAATCGGGGCCTTCTTCGAGCCGATCCGATCCGACCACGCGCTCGTTCTGCGGCTGCTTCGGGCCGCGTGCGGGCGCGCGCTGCGAACATCATCGCGCGCGACGGACTGCGCGCGCACATCTGGGCCTTCTTCGATCCGATCCGATGCGATGTCGGTTCTGGCCGGCCCGATCCGTTTCGATTCCGCTCTTCCGACGATCCGGCGCGGTCCGATGTTTGCGTTCCGAACGGTTTTTCCTGGGCCAGACGGCTCCAAGACGGCCCAAGATGGCCTCCAATATGCATCCCAGACGGCCAAGATGGCTTCCAAGACGGCTAAGATGGCCCCAAGATGCTTTCCGGACGGCCCAAGATGCACCGAAGATGGCGTAAGATAGCCTCACGATGGCCCAAGACGGCCCAAGAGGCCTCAATACGGCCCAAGAGGCGCATCTTCGCACACATGATCAGATTCGATGTTGATTCCTGGCCGGCGCAGCCCGACCCGATACACATTTCAATTCGATCCGTTTTACGAATGCGAGGAACGCGATGCTCACTGACCTTGAGAGGTTATCGCGCCCGACAGAAAGCGCGCGCATGCGAGCCAGACCGCGCTGCGCAGTATCCTGGGTATCGTTCTCACCGCCGAGCACGCCACAGTGGATGGGGCTTCTGGCGGCCCTGGCGGGAACGCTTGCAGTGGGATCCGCCGATGGCGGTTTACAGTGGGGATTTCACCACTTGCCCCCCTCCCCCCCCTCCCGTTTCTCTCTGAACGGAAGGGAAGACGAAGTGAGGCCGAATCAGAAGACCTTCGAGGAGGTGGAAAGATGGTTGCAATTTGACGTGCGAACCTTGTTTTGGCGATGCCAGCGACGGAAGCTGGAGAGATATTGCCGAGATTCCTGAAGCACGGTCCGCATTGGAGAGCGATTCCACGATCCCCCACCATTGAGAGCAAGCCACATGTCTGCCCCGCCGCTCGGCGCGGGGCAACCGCACCGATGTGTCATGCCGCTCCCCCCCTTGACTGGGGCCAGCCTTCATTGTTAAACGGGGCGCGAGTCGAGGCGAGTCGTTCCACGAACGGAGCGAGAGGGCCAACGCAGGCCCCGTGAGGGTAGGTGAACGATCGCCCAGGGAAGTTAAGAAACGCTCTGTCAAACGTCAAGAAAGGCGCACATGGTTATGCTCGACAGCGCAAGCCCGCTTCAACTCACGGTTCGTGATCTGGCGGGGAGCTTCTTGACCACATAAGAAGCCCTTGGAACATCATCCATTAGGCCTAGACTTTGGCGAAGGATTCGCGATGTCCGGCCCGACCCGACTTGCTATCATGTGTATGGTCGCGTGCAAGATAGACCGAGGGGCGTGGTTGGGAACGCGCCGCGCCACTGCAGTTTAGGCACCTCGCCACATTACACGGCTGACGTCAGGGCAGGAAGCACGAGGGCGAAATGAGAGTCACAAGGCCCATATATGCGCCGACTACCACGTCGTTCGCTCGGGCGCAGATACTTGTTAGCGCAGCGCCACCCTGAAGTGGTCGGAGGCCCGAAACCGTTCCAGGTGAGGCGCGCGACCCGCGCCACAAAGGGCACGGGAAGAGCAGCCAGCACCGCGCCGAAGCACAATTGAAGGAATTCAGGCAAGCCGCAAGGATGCCCCGCGGGAGTAGCACCCAGAGCAAGCGAGAACGCCGTGCACCAGCGCGACCAGCGTTGCCCTTCGTGGGGTTATTAGAAGGAGCTGAGGCGACACCCCCTGGCTCGTGACTCCGAAGTTCTCATGCACATGGAATTCATGGAGACATGCTCGCCACGGTTCAAGACGTACTGGGGCAGAGATGTCGTCATACCCGCCTGTTACCGTCTCGTATGATCAGCTTGGTGCGGGGAGAGGGGGGGTGAACATCCGCCGAAGGTACATGGCCATTGTGCGCGAGTGTCACAACAATGGTGACTGAACCGACCTCGGGAACTGCATGGTCGATCACGGCGAGATGGCACACGTCGACGTCGTTGATTGCCGTGAGGTGGCAATGGTGCCTTTTGTCGGCAGCGAGCGAGGGGGGGGAATTGAGAAGGAGGATGCCCTTCTCAGAAAGCGGTGGGGTTTCTCAGAAGCCCCCGCGCCTTCTGAGAACTGTTTTGCGTCTTCGGGAGAGGCTTCGAACACTTCTCAGGAGGCCGGTGGCTTTCCGGGCGTTGTGATCCGTCTCAGTTCCCCCCTTGATTGGCCGCCTACTTTTGCCTCACTATCAGTTTGATACCAAAGCTTTTGTGACACCCTGCCACGGGCACGTGCCCTACGAACAGTATTGACAGCGGAGCGGCCGCGGCACTCTCTGCAGCTTCGAGCGTTGCCCGTTGTGCAGGGTGCTCTTTAGGGCATGGAGCATCAGGCGAAGTACTCCACGGAATGGGCGGTGAATCTAGACGCATCCGCCCCGCGCGGGCGGAGTCGCTACTGCACGGTGCCGAGTCCTCCTCCTCCTCCTCCTCCTCCTCCTCCTCCTCCTCCTCCTCCTACGTTTTCCCGCTTGCTCCTCTCTTCTTCCTTTGCCGTCGGTCGCGCAAAGGGCTTCTACACGCAGGCGGAGACCTGCACACATACGCCACACTTCACACGTCACGTGTCACATTTCACACGTCACACGTCACGCGTCACGAATGCAGCTTGCCAGCCCCGCCGAACAGCTCGAGCCCCCTTCCCCGTGGATCCAGGACAGCACCGAACATCCGAAAAAGACGCACCCGACGTCTCTCTCTTTCTCTCTTTCCCCCACCCCCCGCCCTGCATCATCCGCGTCCTTTCCCCCCCCCCCCCCCCGCATTTTTCCCCCAGGCTCTCTCCCTCTTCCCTCCCCTCTCTCCCCCGCGCCCGGGCGCGCGCGCAGTGCGCCGCCCAGGCGCGGCAGACCATCGAGCTGTCGCAGGGGCACCTTGCGGCCGCCCCGCCCGCCGGGCTGCCAGGGGCGAGGGAGTGCGACGGGGGGTCTCGGGCTGAAGCCGGGTCTGTCCCTCTGCAGGGGGAAGATTGCAATCCAGTCACAGAGAAGAGAAAAGTCTGGGGACGATGCTTCGACTGTGCCCTGATTCTTCTTGAGCGTGTGTTTTGGATATCTTTTTTGTTTTTTCCTCCGAAATCCGCCCGTCGGAGGACATGCCCGACCTGACTTTGGGCGGTGGTGCGAGGGCGCAGCTCCCCGCCGCCGCCGGGGCGGAACCCATCCAGAGCCCGAGCCACCCCGGGGGCGCTTGAGCGGAGTCCCCCCTCCACCCTCCACCCGTCCTCCGCCCTCCGCCCCTCCGCCCTCCGCCCTTCCTCCTCCTCCCTCCCCCCTCCTCCCGCCTCCCTGCTCCCGCCGTCGGGAAGCGCCCCTCGCCTCCCAGCGCCTCGAGCTGGCAGCGAGGGAGGCGAGGGAGCAGGGGGCTTTTCCATGCTGGTGCCACACTTCGTCTCCGCTCGAGCTACCAGGAGTGCGGGCGGGGAGATACGAGGCGGATGCGGAAAAGGATCGGCAGGTTGAGGAGTGGGATACGAGCAGAAGTACGGGTTGAAGGGTGCGACGGAGAAGAAAGATGAACAAGGAGGAGGAGGAGGAGGAGGAGGAGGAGGAGGAGGAGGACTCGAGGAGGAGAAGAAGTGAGGATTCGGGGAGGCGGGGAGGGCGAGAAGGCGAGGGTAAGGAAGATGTGAAGGAGGAGGCGTTAGATCGGGGAGGGAGGCGAGGGACGCCGACGACAGCGTGGAGGAACAGGGCGGCGTCGGAGGAGGGGGAGCAGCGGGCGGAGAGGGAGCGCGGAGGGCGGGCGGCGGAGCAGGCGGGCGCGGCGCGTGGGCTCCGCGGAGCGAAGCCCGAGCCGATCCCATGCCGAGGGTTCAGTCGGGCATGCCCCTCTGCGGGGGGGGCTGTTCCAAAACAGCCCATGCCCGATCATCTTGAGCATTCCCTGCGTATGTTTTCTTTCTCGTCCCAAATCCGCCCGCACGCAGGAGGACGCGCCCGATCCCATGCCGAGGGGCGGCCCGCCGAGGCGCGCCCGGAAGGCCCGCTCTGCCACGGGCCACCTCGGCGCCGCACTGCGCGCTGGGATCTGGCCTACGGCCACGACGTTGAGATATACAGGCGGTCGCAAGCATGGATCAAGGGGGCATGGATCAGCGACGGGTCCCGTTTCCACGAGAAAGCGCAGCTTTCCGCCGCCGAGCGAGGCGGCACCAGCCGCATTTTGGGGAGGGCACCTCCCCCGATCCATGGATTTGGCGACCGCGCGCCAAATCCATGGATCGCGAATCTATGTTTGCGCGCCCCCGAGATAGGGAACAGCTTGGAATCGGAAGGGGCCCGATGTTCCTTAGATTCCTCCGTTGCTGTTTCTCTTGCCCTCCTCCTGGACCCCGGCGCCTTTGGGGCCAAAAAGGGACTTCGTTCCTGGTGCGACGGCCCGACTGTACGAGCGGCCCCCTGAAGCCGCGCTTCGAAGGCCAAGCTTGCCTAGGGTCACTCCTTGCGTGTAGTGGATGACTTCGGATCCGCCGTACGGTCAGGGAACGGCCAGCTCCGAGATCCTGGCGCCTCAGTTGTTTTGTTGTTTGGCGTTTTCGCCACGTTCTGGGCCCCTGGAAATTCACAGATCGATCCGGCTCGAAAAGTGGCGCAAAAAGATCGAGTCTAGGGCCCCTGTCGTGATTTTCATACATATATATATATATACATGCATACAGATTTTTGTTTCGAGCGTCGCACATCTGCTCAGGGCTCGGCGGGCCGCGACGCCAAGTTGCTCACGGCACCATCGGGCTGCGACATGTCGTCGCCTTTGCCTCCCCGCGCTTGCGTGAGGCCCCTGGCGCGCTGAAGCTGGTTCCCCTCGTGGGGACGCGCCGATGCGCGTGGTCAGCTACAACCCGCTCGCGCTGTGCAGGCGCCTTCGCGCCGAGGATATCAGTCAGGATTTGGAGCGCCACGACGTGGTGGCGCTGCAGGGCACGCAGGTGAAATGGCGTGGCGGCGGGGACGTCTCGAAGCAAACCTTTCCGAACCACGACGCGCTCCACTGGGGATGGGGGCGGGGCGGGCACACCAACAAGGCGTGCGGTGTCTCGATCTTCTTCAAGAAGGGGTTCAAGGTGCTGAAGCTGCTGTCACCACCACCGGCCTTGCGGGGGCGCGGCGGCGGCGCCCGCCTGAGGCGGGGCGCGCTGGACATCCTGGCACTGGCCTTCTAATTTCCTGTGCGCGGGGTTGCGGTCCAGCGGGCAGCGGCGGACGCGCTCTTCACGTGGACGCAGCGCTGCCTTATGGAGACGCCCACGCGCTGCACGCCGCTGCTCTGCGCCGACCTCAACGACGGGCTGGGCATGGTCAAGCACGAAGCGGGGGTCTTCTCGCCGCTTTCTGAGGCTATCGGGCTGGTCGAGCCCGCGCTGGAGCACGAGTCGGGCACGGCGTGGAGGCAGCTCTGCGAGGAGTGGGGGTTCGCCACGGTCAACACCTTTTTCGAGGGCTATACCTTCTCGGGCCCGACGGGGGCCAGGTCGAGGCCCGACGTGATCGCGTTGCCCCGCGAGCTCGTGCCGAGCGCCGAGGACTGCAAGCCGCTCTACACGATCGGCGACAGGCTGCAGGCCATTCGAGCCCGCGGCAGGAGGGGCCGCACACCGCTGGGGGTCTCTGTGCGGATCACGCCTGTGCAACCTGAGATTATTCCCAGGGCTGCGCGGGCGCAGTGGGACATGGACGCTTGCATGCTGGCTCTGAAGCGGCATCAGGGCAAGCTGGAGTTCTTGACGGAGCTGGAGTACAAGTGCGAGGACATGGTTCGTCCTCCCTTGGATGAGGAGCAGGACCCCGACGAGGCCTGGGACGAGCTGGCGGAGGTGGTGCGCGAGACGGGCCTGGCGCACTTCGGCCTCAAGGAGCGCGACGCTAGGGAGATGGAGGAGGCGACGGACCAGCGCAAGAAGCTGCTGCAGGAGCGGGCTGACATCCGCCGTCGGCACGTGATCGACGGCGAGATGGGGGCTTCGACGGACGTCGAGCTGGGGAGGTGTGTGCAGGAGCTCAAGGACGCCACGCGCCGTCCGCGCGCGCTGCAGCGGCAGCGGCGCAGGCGGCTCCGCGCGGCGCGCTGCGAGGCGCTAGCGGAGGCGGAGCGCGCGGGCGACGCGGCCACGGTCTGGAGGCTGGCCCACTTGCTGGGCGAGCGGGGGCTGGGCGCGCGCCGTCGAGTGCACTGCGCCCCCCGCCTGGAGCGCGCGGCGGCGGCGCGGCGCAAGCTCCTCAAGAGCCCTGGGCGGCTGGGGGGCTACGCTGCGACGGAGCTGGACGCGCGGCCGTATCTCGAGCAGCTGCGGCCCCCGCCGGCACGATGTTGCTCGGTGCTGGACGCCGAGGAGGCGGCGCTGGAGGACCTGGGGGAGCTGGAGGAGCGCATGCGGCGGAGGACGCAGCCTCGGCGGGCGGCGCCACCGCGGTCGGCGCCCGTGCCAGCGTGGAGGATGCGCTCGGCGCCGCCGATTGCAGCCAGGCATGGCGATGGGCGTCGGCTACAGGGCGGAGCCCCCGAGCATGAAGGCCTTAGGGAGCGGATGCTGCACTGCTTGGCCCTCGCTCGCGTTTTCAAGACGGCGCCCCCGGCGTGGTCCAGGTCCAGGGCGGCGGACATCGGCAGGATCATCCACGTGATGCGCCCCGCCGGCAAGGGCTACGCCTCTGCGTTGGCGGCGAGGGCCCAGAAGGCGAAGGCGGCGCCGAATGACTTCGGCTTCGCCCCGAGGCGCTCGCGGGATGGGGCTTTGGCGGTCACGTCGGCGGTGGCCGAGCGGGCCGCGCACTACGGCCTCACGGCGCTCACGAGCTTCAAGGACCTCAGCAAGGCGTTCCAGTGCCCGTCGGTGCGTGACATGGCGCAGGGCTTGGAGAGCATGGCGCGCGCCGAGGACCACCCCATTGTTGCGCGGAGGGTCTTCGACTACCACTGCGAGGTGGAGACGGCCGAGGGGGTGCTGCGCATGAAGACCAACCAGTGCGTGCTCATCGGCGACTCGATTGGCCCCCCGCTCTTCCTCTGGGTTTTCACGCCAGTGGCGACTGAGTGGGCCATTGCGGACTCCGATCGCCCCGACGCGCAGCTGCTTGAGGCGAAGTCTGTCGTTGCGGGCACCGTTCTGGACCTCAGCCTCGCGAAGTTCGCGGGCGACCTCTGCAGCGCTTCGTCTCGTGGTGCCACGACACCGTGATCATGAACCACAAGGCCTCGGACGAGCTGTTGGACAGGCTGCTGGAGCCGCGCGGTTCCCAGCAGAACATTCCCAATCAGTACGCCATGTGCGCCTTCCGTGGCGAGGGGGCCAGGGCCAAGACGCGAGCCTTCTTCGCGGGTAGGCTCGGCGCGCGCTGCAACTGCTCGGCGGTCGCTCGCAACCTTGGCCCGATGCTGCGCTACCAGGGCGGGCTCGCGACGGAGATCAGGGCTAGGGTGGCGGCGGCTACTCGACTTTTCGCGGACATGGGGCGCTTCTGAAAGTCCGAGATCTCCGTCGAGGCGGCGCGCCAGGTCTTCCGCTCCAAAGTGTTGGGGGGCCCCCCTCTCTGGAACGGTTGCGGTCGTGCCCGCGCAGTCCTTCCTGGCGTCGCTGGGGGGGGGGGGGGGCGCTCTGCGCCTGGGCCGCTCGGCTCTGGGCGCGCGGGCGTCGCGGGGCTTCCTGGCGGAGGAGCGCTACCAGCGCAGGACCATGCCCGCCCAGGTCGTTCGTCAGCTGCTGCAGATGGCGGACATCGAGACCGAGCTGCGCGCGGCGAGGCCCAGGTTCGTGAAGTGCACGACGCGCCACCCCGCGGATCACGAGGTGGAGCTCACGGCCTTGTTCGGCCAGCTGCCCTTCGTGCTGCAGCCCGTGCTGGAGGAGGGCGGCCGCCTTGGCGAGGGTGCTTCGGCGCTCGCGAGGCTGCTGGTGGACGACGCGAAGCTGCTCTTGCGCGCGTCGGAGCGCGAGGACTTGCTGGAGGCGTGGGACTCGCGCCCCCTCTTGCTGCTGGAGGGGGCCTTGCGGGATGAAGTCATTCAACTCGACCTTCGAGTGCTTCGGGTTCGCGGATGGGCGGCCCAGTGCCCACCGTCGCGCGAGGTACCCGTGGCCGTGCGTCATCGCTGGTGGACCTTGCACGGCGACCACTTCAGGCCAGCACGGGAGCCGCCTGGCCTCATCGATATCGGGGACTTCGAGTTCGCGTGCCAGGAGCCCTGCGCTGAGGGCTCGCGCGGGGCCGCCTTCTGTTCGGAGCGAGCCTTGCTGTGGCACAAAATCAGTTTTCACAAGTATCGAGCGGTGGAGCCGTCCTTGTGTTTGTCTAACCAATGCGGGTTCTGCTATACTGTTCTTGCGTCTCGGGCGTCGGCAACACAACGTGTCAGATTCGCTCTTGCTCGAGGGTATTGTCGTGGCGGGCTGGCCCATGCTGCGCCGAAGTTGCTGGTCCCAGAAGATATCCGATGTCTTGTTTGTGGCGAGCTATCTCCGACGTTAGACCACCACTACAGCCACTTTCTCTCCGTGCATTTCGCTGGGCGGAGACCAGTTTTGTTGCTGCCGCGGCCCCCGGGGCCTCATTGCGATGCTGCAGGCGCCCGGTTGGGCTCCGGCGGCTTCGCCAGCCGCGGCCGAGGACGGGGCGCGCGCGGCGGCGGGCGGCCCCCCAGGCGGCCGTCGCGCGCGCCATCGCCCCGCGGGAGGAGGTCCACGCCGAGGGGGAGAGGAGGAGGAGGACGAGGCGACGCCCCTGCCGCGAGGCAGGGCCAAGGCCGCCGCGAAGCCTCGCGCCCGCCGCCAGCAGGACGAGTTCGAGGAGACGGCGGCCGCCCTGGCGCGCCTGGTGCTCTCGCACGACCTCCAGATCCGCGACCTCGAGTCGGCCTGCGACATCACGTTCAAGGTTCCGCTCGACAACGACATTATCAAGAACGTGACGGGCGCGGGCAAGACCTACAGCAACATGTGTCGCGGCAAGAGCCCCGCGCAGCACGGCCTGGACCCGCCGCTGCCGCACCTCGTGGAGGCGGCGGTGCGGCCCCTGGCCAACGCGACGGACATGGCGGGCTCCGACCTCGAGGGGCCAGTGAAGGCGCCCCACGCCCAGGTCAGCGAGCGGGACTTCGTCACGACGAACTTCATGCACTTCAAGCTCAAGGACATGTACGGCAAGAAGCACACGCGCGTGTGCGTGGCGATCGGGATGGCCGAGGTCGCCGCCACGTTCAAGAAGGCGATGATCAAGATCGGCGGCGTGGAGCTCCTGGGCACCGCGCCACCAGGCGGGCTCCATCGGACCAAGCGGGCTCCAGTGGTTGGGCCCGCGCTGATGGACGTGATCCTCAGGCTGGTGGACGGGCGCGGCGGGCGGGCCACTGTTGAGCGGCCCGTGCCCGCGCCTGCGGAGGCGCGCCGTCGGGGCGCCTCGCCCCCGCCCGCCCTTCGGCTGGGGCGCCCGCTCGGCCGCGGGGCCCGGGCGGCGGCGGAAGGCGGGGCGGCGCGGGGCGCGCGCGCCGCCTCCTCGCGCGAGCGTGCCGCCGAGAGCTGACCGGGGGTTCGGCCGCTCCTTTTCTCCTCCTCGCCTGGGGTCCTGGGCCTTCCTGGGCTCCTGGGTCCTCGTGGCCTCGGCCCGCGTCCTCTCCTGGTCCCTGGGCCTTCTCCTCTCCTCTCGGCGGGAGGCTTCAAAGAGACAGCGGCGCCTCGCACTGGCGCCCATGCTGTGCTAATAATAACTGTTGTTTCGCGACGCCGGACCCCAGGGAGTAATTTTGGCTGATCATGACGCTCAGCCGGTTCTGGCCCACCACGCTCCGGCGCGACGCGCGATCCACGTCCCCGCTCCCAGGCGTCAACGTCCCGAGCCTTCCCCGGCCTCCCGCCCCACGGAGCGGAACGACACGCTATCCGCTCGCAAGGCATAGCTCTATGCCTCCCAGATGGGGTCGGAGTAGATGGGATCGGCGGCTCGGGCCGCATCGCCGATGCATCGCCGATGCGGCTCGATGTGGAGCCCGATTTGCTTCACGTCGACGTCGCCGATGCACAGCCGGTGCATCGCCGATGCACCGCCGGTGCATCGCCGATGCATCGCCGATGCATCACCGATGTATCGCCGAGAAGGCGCGATCCTCCGACCCCAATCTACTCCCACCCCATGTTCATTCAGGAGGCCTCTAGAGGCATAGCGTGTCTCTGGGGCCGCCGCCGGGACACGCTGAGCAAAAGTTCCCGGCCATACCCTGTGGCGGGCACTGCAAGGTCGCGCCAGCGCGGGCGCTCCAGGGCCGACGAACGCCCGACGGCTTGCGGGAGAATCTTGGCAGCGAACGAAGATCGCTGAAGATGGAGTCGGCTCACGCGGCGTCGTCGAGGAACAAACAATGACATACAGAGAAGCATAATTTTTCGGAGGTCCTCGCGGTTTTCTCAGTTCGGGGCTGGAGCCCCTTGGCGGCGCCTGGCGAACTGCGCGCGCCAGGGAGGGATCCAGCGCCGATCCAATGTTCATGTCAGTTTTTGTTTTGCTAGTGCCAGGCGGGCCAGAGCGTTCGGAGCGTTCCAGGGCGCTCCCGGAGCGGCCGCGGCGCCCACTGCATCCTGCAGAACCGCTGGGTCTCAGAGATATCCGATCCCGGGAAGAGCAAAAGGTACCGATTCTGCTACTCCCTGGGCCTCTCCCGGGGTGCGTTTTTGACCAGGATGCCATGGCGAATCCAGCGGTGGCGACAGAGGCCTCCCAGGCTTGACCTCCCTGGGCCTGTCTCTGGCCTCCCCTGCCAGCGATGGCGACGCACACGTATTTCGCTACATGGTACACCAGATCTCCCTGCAGCGCCAGGGCAGCAGTCTTGCAGATCGCGCGAGTGAGGTGGGCTGGAGGTTCTGGACGCGCGCCCGCCCCAAGCTCGGTCCGCGCATCCCTGCGCCCGCTCTGCCCTCGCCCTCCCTTCAATTACTCGCTCACCGAACTTGAGCAGTTCATGGAATTCACCGTGGCCTCGGTCCACGCGGAGGAGCCTTCCGCCGACGCTGCCCCCTGACCCCCGCGAACGCCCCAGCGACGGTGACGCAGCCCCGGGAAGCGCCCTGCCTCTCGATCACCCTCGGAACAGCTCCCGCGACGGCGCGTTAGCCCTGTTGGGCCAGTACACCGCACAAGTCCTGGCGCTTGCAACCTGACTCTCCACCAGCGCCTGCCCCCCCTCGCCCCGCGGTCCTGACGGCCCCTGTTCGGAGGACATCTGCGGGCCCCAGCCCCCGGCGACCTGGCCCTTCCCCGAAGGCCCCATTCGTGCGTTGAGGCAGCGGCAAACGGACTGGCCACGATGCTCGGGGTGCCACGCCCTTAGTGGGCCCTGGAAACGACAGGGCCGATTTTTTACCGGTTCCGTTTTGCCGTTTTGTTGCCGGTTCCGACGCCTTTTTTACTGGTTCCGTCGCCGTTGTTTGACTGGTTCCGGCTCCGGTTCCAATCCTGGAGCCGTTTTTGTTGCCGTTTCGGGTCGCCGTTTTTTTGCCGGTTCCATTTTCAAGGGGCCTTTTTTGGAAGCGGTGAAAAAGCGGCCCTGCCGTTTCCGGGGCCCACAAAGTCCGAGAGGCTTGCGGCCGAGGAGCCAGGCGCGGAAAGTAAAGGGTTGGTCCGACGACTACAATCAGAACTGACTAGTCAGGATGCGCGATAAGTATGCAAGGCCCTGGAACGCCCATCGTAAGTAGTCAAGGATGGACCAAAGAGGCAAGGATGCCCTTGCAAAGGGGCCCACTAAGGCCACGCCCCAAGCGCGCCTCACTGCCGGGCTGTTCCTTCACACCGTGGCTGGCTTGCCATCGGCAGGCGCCCAGGCGCTCTCGCACGGCCCTCCTGCGCCTCAGTCCCGTCGCCCCCCTCCTGCTCACCCCTTTCCATCTTGGTTGTCTCGATACGCCCGTATTGAAACGCGACACGTCCCGTGTTCAAGACGTCCGTGTCAATACGTGGCGTGTTGACTCCACGTAGTGGCCCACGTTTTGGCGAACGTATCGCGTCGGACCCGCGTATTCAGCCCACGAGTTGAGCTCCGTATTACGCCACGTGTTGCGTGTTGCGTATCGGGGCAGCTAAGCTTTCCATAGTCTGCCACGCCTGGCAGGTGCCCCGGCCGGGCGCATCTTTCGGGGTTCCCCAGCGGGTCCCATCGCTTCTCTCTGACCTGTCCTCCGTTGGCCCTCGTTTTCGGCACTCCGGCGGACTTGTCGGCGCTGCTGCCGCATCGGGCGCGGCCTTTGCGGTGCCCCCGCCGCCACTGCTGGCCTCCGGTCCCCTTGATCCTCGACGTGCCTTTCAGCCAGTCGTCTCGCCATGGCATCGCTTCCGTCCGCCTGCGCCCCCTTCGCCTTGATGGCCATGTCGTTTGCATGCCAGTCGGTTAATCTACCACCCATCGTCTGACCCCCCACCACCCGCGCACGGATGACTGATGGCCAGTTGCCGGCGCTGCTTATTCCAAGCGGCATGAGGGCTTGGCCTTTAGTCGCGCGCGCGCCCGCTTCTTTGACCTTTCCACCCCCTGTCGCTGCGCGCGGAGCCGCGACAACCCTAAAAAAGCGTGTGGATGTGGGGGCGTGTGGGTGTGGGTGCATGGGTGTGGGTGCATGGGTGTTGTGTGGGGGCGTGTTGGTGTGGAAGCGTGTGTGTATGTGTGTAGGTGTGCGTGTGTGTGTGTGTGTGTATGTGCCTATGTGTGTGGTTGCGTGTGGTTGTGTGTAGTTGTGTGTGGTTATGTGTCTGTGGTTGTGTGTGCGTGTGCGTGTCCGTCTGCGTGTGAGCGCGGGCGCGCGGGCGTGCAGGCGTGTGTGTGTGTGTGTGTGGGGGGGGTGTACGTGGGTGTGTGTTGGGGCGTGTGTGTGTGTGTTTGCGAATGTGTGTGTGTGTGGGTGTGTGTGTGTGTGCTGTGTGTGTGTGTGCGTGCGTGTGTGTCGGAGGGTGGGCGGCTGGGTGTGTGATTGTGGTGGGGGAACTTGGGAGTGGGTGCGTGGGTGTGTGTGTGGGTGTGCGTGTGCGTGTGGGTGTGTATGTGTCTATGTGTGTGGTTGTGTGTCTGGTTGTGTGTAGTTGTGTGTGGTTGTGTGTCTGTTGTTGTGTGTGCGTGTGCGTGTCCGTCTGCGTGTGCGCGCGGGCGTGCGGGCGTGCAAGCGTGTGTGTGTGTGGGGGTGTACGTGGGTGTGTGTGTGTCTGTTGGGGCGTGTGTGTGTGAGTCTTTGCGTGTGTGTGTGTGTGTGTGTGTGTGTGTGTGTGGGTGTGTGTGTTGTGTGTGTGTGTGCGTGTGCGTGCGTGTGTCGGAGGGTGGGCGGGTGGGTGTGTGATTGTGGGGGGGAACTTGGGTGTGGGTACGTCGGTGTGTGTGTGCGTGGGTGTGCGTGTGCGTGTGGGTGTTTGCGTGTGGTTATGTGTAGTCACGTCTGTGGCTGTGTGTAGTTGTGCTTGTGTGCAGTTGTGTGTGTGCGTGTGCGTGTGGGTGTGGGTGTGCGTATGGGCGTGTTGGTGTGCTTGTGTGGGTGCGTGGGTGTGTGGGTGCGTGTGTGTGTGTGTGTATGTGGGTGTGTGTGTGTGGTTGTCTGTGTGGTTGTCTGTCGTTGTGTGCGTGATTGTGCGTGTGTGCGGGTGCGGGTGCGCATGCGCGTGCGTGTGCGTGTTCGTTTGGTTGTGCGTGTGCTTGTGCGCGTGCGTGCGTGCGCGTGCGCGTCCGCGTGCGCGTGCGTTTTCGCGTGCGTTTTCGCGTGCGTGTGCGCGTGTGCGTGTGCGTGTGCGTGTGCGTGCGTGTGCGCGTGCGCGTGCGTGTGCGTGTGTGCGTGCGTATGCGTGTGCACGTGCGTGTGCGCGTGCGTGCGTGCGCGTGCGCGTGCGCGTGTGCGTGTGCGCGTGTGTGTGTGTGTGTGTGTGTGTGTACGTGTGCGTGTGCGTTTGCGCGTGCGTGTGGGTGTGTGGATGTATGAGTGTGTGGGTGTGCGTGAGCGTGTGCCTGCGCGTTGGGGCTTGGGGGTGTGGAGGTGTGTGTGTGTGTGTGCGTGGGAGTGTGGAGGTGCGTGCGTGGGTGTGGGTGTGTTTGTGTGTGTGTGCGGTTCTGTGCGGGTGTGTGGGCCGTGGATGTGCGGGTGTGTCGGTGTGTCGGTGTGTGGGTGTGTGGATTTATGTGTTCGTGTGCGTGTGCGGGTGCGTGTGCGCGTGCGTGTGCGTGTGCGTGTGCGTGTGCGTGTGCGCGTGTGTGTACGTATGCGTATTAGTGGCACTGGCTATACTCTTCGTGCCCTTAGCAGACTTGGCGTGTAGCTCCGAGGTCTTCAACAACCGCCGCTGCCTGCAGATGTGGACTTCGCCGGAGGCAGGCCCCTGCCGAACGCAGCTTGACGCACCTATGGGGGCGGGAGGAAGAGGAGGAGGAGGAGGAGGAGGAGGAGGAGGAGGAGCAGGAGGAGGAGGAGGAGGAGGAGGAGGAGGAGGAGGGGGAGGAAGAGGAGGAGGGGGGGGGAGGATGGGGGACGAAGAAAAGCAGAGGCAGGCGGATGGCGGAGGAAGAGGACGGGGAGGAGGACGAGGAGACAGGCAGCAGCAGCGGCAACAGCAGCGGCAACATCGGCAGAGGCAGGCGGTCGTTGCTCCCTGCCGTGGGCGTCAGGCAAACCCTCTCACGCATTCGGCCGTGTACTTTCTGCAGCTGCACACGGCAACACCAGCTGTGGCACGCACAGGGCGTCTGCATGTAAGCGTGCGAGGGCGGGTCGGCACCTACAGGGTGGTACCTCTCCGGGGCGAGCCCCACCGCGCCTCGTCGGCATTCGCACGTAAAACCGTTGCGTCAGCACGCTTTTCCTCGGGTTCGGCGCCTGGCTTTCCAGGGCATAGTCCACTCGACCCAGGGGACACCAGAAGCGCCACGGTCCATGCAGCATCTCGGGAGTGTGTCCCGCACTACCGCAGACATCTGGCGAGGTGGTTCTGAGGTTAGTGGGGTTAGTATGTGCCGTGGTTCCACCCCGTGCACGTGTAGTAGAAACTCAAGGCTGCAGATCGAACACCTTTTTCATGAGAAAGGTAAAATGTGTGGTATGCCACCTGGCCCATCTCTGAATCTGAATCTGAATCGCATGGTCGTCGAACCAGTGAAGAGTCTCCGCAGCGATACATCAAGGGTTGACGATTCGCGTATCCCCGCAGGCCCGTCGAGCCACGATGCCCAGGCGAGCTGCTTTCCTCAGGGGTGTGTAGAGCGAGCAGTGGAACAGACACGGAGCGCGGCCCCCAAACCGGAGTTTGGGATCAGTCTGAGCAGACACAGGAGCCAAGGTCTCCCACGAGGGCGCGAAGGTATTCGCGCTTCGCGGTCCTCGTTCCTTCTCCTCCTCCTCCTCCTCGTCCTCCTCTTCTCCCTTTGGGGGGGCGGCGCGAGAGCGCGAAGTTATTCGCGCTTCGCGCTTCGCGGAGCGCGAAGCGCGAAGTTGGGAGCCCTAGAGGAGCCAACCGTAAACGCCTCCGCAGTATTTCAGCCTGGGAGCCCCTTGGAAGCGTTATCGAGCTGCCTGCAGCAAGCACGATGTGTCAAGAACAGGAGGCGCCGATGTTGTTCACTGGGCTCGTGAGGATGATGGCAACGACAAGGCGGCGGATGACGAGGATGACAGCGATCGGAGCAGGAGAACAACGAGTAGGAAGACAAGCGCGAGGACAGGGAGGAAGGGATGGAGGAAGACGAGTCCGAGGAGGAACGAAGCGGAGGAGGAGGAAAAGGAGGAGGAGGACGACGAGGAGAAGAACAAGAAGAACGACGACGACGGAGGACGGTAAGGAGCCTGGGGAAGAGGACCTCGAAGAATGGGGAGCATCGTGATCTTTTGAGGCCACTTTCGGGGCTGTTGGGGCCAGCTATCTTGGAGGCCTCCTGGGGTCCTGTGCGGGTCCTCTTGGGGGCTACTGGGGCCTCCTTGGGCTATCTGGGCGTGTCTTAGGGTTCTGCGGGAGTTTTCTCAGGCCGTCTTGGTGCCATCTTGGGCTGTTTTGGGCCGCCTGGGGGCCTCCTTGGGCTCTCTTGGGGGCCTCTTAGAGCCTTCTCGGGGTCCTCCCAGGGTTTTGGGGGCTCGTGTGGGCCACGGTGGGCCCCTCCAAGAGCGATTCCAAGACGATGCTGATCCGGAGCCCTCTCCGAATGTCCAGAGCGGGACAGCCACTTCTCAGAAACGTGATCGGACAAACACGGGAAGCGTCGCCCTTGCCCACGAAGCTTGTCAGATACAGTCGTCCTGGGGACCGTGAAATTGGGAACATCCGCTAATTGTTGCTGGCTCATTGAGCTGGTCTGCCGTGCTCCTGTGGTATACCGTGCTCTTAGGGTCTGCCGTGCTCACTGGTCGGTGGGACACCCTAGCTCTGGAGTAGACCCACTGGAAGATCCTTAGGCTACCCCTCGATGTCGAGCGGGAGGAGGATGCCTGCTTCACCGCGAAGTCCCCGACGAAGGACGCAGAGCGCCAGCTCGCACGTCGCCGCCAAGTACCTCGCACGCGTCATAGGCGGCGGACCCGCATGGTAGGTGATCCATCCGGATTTGCGCGTCACTCGGGGCTGCGACGCCCAGAAATAGTGTGGAAGGGAGAACTTCCCCTCCAAATGACGGCGTTCGTGTGCAAATTCGGGGCATTCCTGCCACAAGTGCCGGAAAGACGGTTGAGCGTGGTTGCAGTACTTGCACGGGTGCGGGCACTGCCGGCGCGTGGATGTAGACGCTGCACCACTGCGGTAGATGGTGAGAAACTTCTTGTCGTTGTCGTTCTGCTTGGAGTACCATCTCGCGAAGAAGCGGTGCGACGACGCGTCGACGTCGACGTTGTCAACCTCCTCGCTGTCGAGCCGGGTCTGTCGCACCTGCTGGAGGCAGCGGATGCGCGCGACCGCGCGCAGCGCGTGGGCTGCCTTCTTGTGGGTGGTCCAGAAGCGCTGGGAATTAGCGCCGCGGACCTGTCGCGTCACCTGCAGGACGCGGTGGTCGTCGGTGGGGAACACCTCGAGCTGCACGCCGCGGGTGTCGTCGCTGTACGTGATGAACGTCAGGCCCAGGGACGCGGCGTGCGCCGTGATGGCGTTCTGCACGAAGTCGCTCCAGACCAGCTTTTGGAGTGGGAGACGGCGTGGAGGCTTTGGAGAGCCTGCGAGTACTGCGGGTGCAGATTTGTGTGAAAGGCCCAGAAACAAACGGCCGTGGCACCACCAAGTGCAGCGTGTATTGAAATTGAGAAAGGCCTGGAACAAGCGCCTGGCGTAGTCCGCCGGGAAAGGGGTCAGCAGCGGCGCCGCCCAGGTCCAGTGTGGCCGGATGTAAGCGATGGCGAGGATGATGCGCACCACGAAACTGCCCAGGAGGCCGTGCAGAATGCCGATGCCGTTCTCGATCTTTGCCCAGCCCTTTCGCGGCAGGATGGGCGCAGAGGGGTCCGTGGGGACGGCCGTGAGGCCGAGGTGCTCGATGCGCTTGGGCGGGTCGTCGGCGACGCTCCAGGTCTGCCGTTTGCTGGCGTTCTCCGTGAAGCCGACGTCGTTGTCGAAACTCGTGGTCATGGCGACGTCAGCCGCGAGGGGTAGCCTCGTCGGTGGCCGTCAGGCTCCGGTCGTCCATGCACGCCAGGCCGGAGTCGGGCGCCCACGGCGTAAGGGCGGCGACCATGGCATTTGGGGCGAGGCTGTCGCCCTGGGGGAGCCCGCGCTTCGGCCAGATCGGCTGGCTGAGCTCGCCGCCCATCGTGCAGAACCGTGGAGCACGCCACACCGCCGCGCACTGTCGAGTGATGTGCGGCGGCATGCCCTGCCGTTCGAAAGCCCTCCGCGATGGCGAAGTCGATGTTGTCGCACGCCTTGGACAAGTCGTGTTCCGAGCCCACCCCGCTGAGAGTGCAGGAGTGGAGCCGCGACGAGATGGCGTGGGTGACGCTTGTGGCACGTCGGCACGACCATTGGTGGGTCGGCGGCTCGGGGGCTGCCCCTGCGAGGGCGGACAGCCAGAGGCGCAGGATGCAGGAGCCCACGGCGATTGGCCTCGAGTCGTCCTCGTTCTTCGGAATGCCCACGATCTTCCAACTGAACAGCTGCGTCCTTGGCAGCCAGCCGCTCGCACTCGTTGATCTCTGACGCAAGGACCTCGATGGCGTCGTTGCAGGTGGGGGCGCCGTCGGCGAGCTGGATGTGGCCGTCCAGACCCAAGCGAGCGTAGCAGTCCAAGTGGCGTGGAGAGGTACTGCGGACGCGGGTCGCGTCGAAGCACCTCGGCAAAGCGACGTTGGAGTCGAAGTAGACGTCGGTGGGCGAGCGTCTGTGGAGGTCGGAAAGATGAGGGCGTGGCAGTCGGTCGCATCTTGGGGAGGGTGCCCTTCGCCCTCTCCCCGGGGCGTGCGATGTAAACCCAGCCGAGCCGGACACCCTCCTTGAGGGTCTGCTCTGCTCGTGCATGCCAGTTGGCCCAGCGGTCGGTCAGGCTGGCGCCGGCGGGTGTGCAAGGCACCTGCTGGTCCACGGCGTGCTGAATCAGCTCGACATCGTCGGGGATGCGCGTCAGGCGGGCGTAACCTGCTGCGCGTGTGAGCCGTCTGCGGGGTCGCGGTGCAGGGTGGTGCAGTCGGACCGTGTAGTAGACGAGGGCGTAGTGAGGGATCCCGGGCGGCAGGAGTCGGTTATGGTGCCCTGGTGTGGGCGTGTCTAGGCCTCCGAAGGCCAGGGCTCTGGTGGGCGCCGTCGCTGCCGTTGTCGCGGCGGTGGGCGGAGCCTCGTCCTCGCCCTCGTCCTCCGGGTTGACGGCCGCGAACGGCCCCCGGGCCGGCAGGGAAAAACCTCCCGAGACGGCGCATTGGACCCCACGCGAAAATTAGAGAATGATGGCCCCCGGTGTGAGTGGCAGAAGCGGAGAGTCACACACCCGATCGACACCCCAAACAACGACAAAAGCATTGAAACCCACCCCAGAAAGACAACCAAACATCCGTTATTTAGGGCATATGCTATTCCACTTCCGCCACCCACCCACCCGCGACCAGGCCAGCCCGCTGCCCCACCCCCCTCTGCGTTCCAGCAACAACCCCCGCCGCGAAGGGGTTTGGGGGGAGCAGGCAACCAGAGGAATCCGGCGCCGGGCGCAGTGAGTTTGCTCCCCCCAGATGGTCCTTAAAGAAGGCCATCGGCGCTGGGGCCATCGGCCCGGAAGCGCGGCAAAACGAACGCCTAAGCCGGGCTGTCCGCAACGCTGGAACCAAGGAGGGTGGACGCGGGACTAGCGCGGGCCGCGGCGCCGTTGCGCCCCAACTCACTTCTTTGCGCGTCGTCGACGCGCAGGGGCCAGACTAATCTATTAAGACACGCAACCACAC